CCCCCTTCTCCCTCAGGATGGTTTAGAGCGCAGAGGGTACAAGGAAGCCGGTTTCTTGAATGCAGTCACTGAAGTTGTCAGGACAGGTAATTACTGTTTCTCAATGGATAATCGAATCGCGCCATTGAAATGGGTTACAAAAAAAAACCGCCGTTTTGTTCTATAACTTGGGTTAAACTTGGTTGTTTCCGAAATAACAGGAGTTACGCCAGCAGAGAAGCTCTTGGAGCTGTACAACGGAGAGTGGGGACAAAGCGTAGATCCTGTGTTCCAGGAACTTCTGTACTAAGTGAACAAAAGCGGGTCTAAAAACCTTTTGGGTGTGTGAGTTTATGGTATCTGAAGAACTCAGGAATAAGGTTTTTGTTGTAATCGGGTTTGAAAACTGATTTTGTTTTAGAAAATTCGAAGCATTGAAAAACCAGAAGAAAATTGTATGTACTAAAACGATTTCGGTGTGTGAAATCGTTTGGCAGGGTGTTTGGATATTTTCAATAATTTACCCATTTTTTTCTTTCACAAAAATTTGTCCACCAAAAGTATTGAAAATTTGCATTCTATACGAAAAATTGATAATCGTTTGGGAGGATTATTAAAACACATGAAAACTAATCAAGTTTATCAGACTGCTTTACAAGCTATTTACAACCTTTTTTTGTGCCGGGAATTTAACATTTTTCTTCACACATATCAACGACGAATGTAGCCTTTACTTATATACTTTTCGAACGTTCTTCATTTGTACGTAGTCATAGTTTATCTTCTTATTAATACTGAAGTTCCTGAAACACAGGATCTATGTTTTGTCCCCAAACTCCATTGTATAACTCCAAAAGCTTCTCTGCAGGTGTAATCCCTGGTTTGTCACGGAAAATTAGGACCTAAAATATACATTAATCCTACCAAAACTTTCAGTCAACCTTGAAACAAAACGTTACCGGTTCTAGCCACCTCGGCGACAGCGTTTAAGAAACCGGTTTCCTTGAACCCTCTACGCTCCAAACCATCCTAAGCAATAGCAAACAAACTTCAGTAAGTATATTACAAGGAGAACGCATGCACACATCAGCACATACATTTGCTAGCTTTACGACATCTTCTGCGACATGTTTCAAAAGACCATCTCTAAACACTGTCTTTAAGCCAGTGACTGGAACCTGTTGAAACCCAAGGAGGATTNGTTTAAAGGAGGATATATTCCTTTTGATATTGAATATAAAAAAGAAAGTATTGTGATCTCTCTTCCTAGCTTACTTGTTTCCTAAGCATCTCTCTTTCTTCAGTAGTCCAATCACTTGTCATATCAAGAACAGTTTGGAGAGATTCTTCGTCGTATAGCAATCCCACCTGAGATGCAAATACATTGAAATTTTTTTACCGCGGACGATACTGTTTATATCTTTATTAGAGACGATAAGTAAATTACCCAAAAAGCTGGTAGGGCACACAACATCCTCCAGGGACCTCCATCAGCACCTCTCATCTCCAAGAATTTCTTTAACCGGACCTGATAAAATTTATTACCGAACATAATCATAAGACGAATGACTTTAACCACAGTAATTAAGTAACATGGTAGTTGAAAATAATATGGTGTTCTTGAAAAGGAGTTACAACCTCTGGCCATATTGTTCCCATATGGTTTTCCCAGTCATTAATGGTGGGTTGTTCATTAGAGAGGTGGGAAATTTTCCCGGACAAGAAGTCCTACAAAGTCAAGAATTATGTTAAAATCATAAGCCGGCTCAAAAGTGTAAATTTTATCATTTTCTTATAAAGAAGAAGTAGACCCGAAATGTCATTCCTCGACAATCGAGATATCTTTTGTTACGGTATAGGAAGCACATTGGAAGGTCAAGTACGTATTCGACATACCGTTCAAACCTATATCAAGACATTTATGATTAACAATATTGTTGAGGACAAAATCACATAGTTATACAAAACATTTTGATACTCACCCGAATGAGTTATCGAACACAAAAGGTATCATTCCTGTACGGTTCTTATCTATACCTGTCCATACATGGCTGTCAAAACATTGTCAATAGATAGATGAGAAAATAATAGTAATAAAAAAAAAAGAGCGCGAGAGAGTGGAAAAACACAAATTACTAATGTACAAACCAACCTCCTCATGCTTAGAAGCTCATTTGGCTTTTCATTATTGAAAGGGGAATTCGCAAACAGAGCAGTCGCAATCTGTTTTCTCAGGATATGATTAAAAAAAAGTAAGACAAATGTTGTTTTCGAGTTCAAAATATCATTAACATTAAAATAGCATCAAGCTTCTCACAGGTTGTAAAGCTAGACTAGCGCGGAACTTCCTAATCATATCGGTTTCTGAACTGTAGTCTAGATTGACCTGAACAGAACAGGTTCTCAGACACACGTCAGGCCTTAAGCCACCTCTCACTAAGCGATCTATCAAGAACTCATATCTTTTCTGCACATAGAAATCACTTTCACAAATCAGACAAAGAGCCAAGTTAAGTAAATATTTCAGAACTAATATATTTGCAGAGGAAAAAACCTTGGGCACAGTGGTTACATCCTCGAGGCTAGATTTGGGTTCAAAGCCAATTCCTAGGAAACCGATTCCCAACTCCTCAGCAACATTTTTGACCTGGTACAGATGTGAATGAAGCTCATCAGAAGTTTGGTGCAATGTCTCTAGAGGTGCTCCACTTAGCTCTAGTTGGCCTCCTGGTTCTAATGATATGCTTTGCCTTCCCTGAAATATTATATTCAAACAAAATCATGTCAGTTTTTGTTATTTAAAGAGAAGAGAACAAAGTAGAGCATTATTTAATTAAATTTTAAATTATTAAAAACAATATTCAACCATCAAACAGCACAAAATGAGTTTCTCTAACATATGAGAATATTTTCTAATGAGAAACTAATTCTAATTCTCTCACCACCTTTTTAATATTTTCTATTTGTTAATTGATAAGAAACTCTTTAAGAGACTTGCAATGGGTTTCAGACCTGTTTCAGACCAATGACTCTTCCATTCTCCATCACCTTATCCCAATCAAATTTCTTAGCAATACCATTAAGAAGTGCAGTTATCTGTTCATATTTCACAGGTCGCAAAGTCTTCACCTCAAAACCAAATTTCTCGTGTTCAGTACCTATTCTGAATACCCAGTCCAAGAGATCAAACAATACAAAAAAGAGTTGGAACAAATAACAATACAAAAAAAAGAGTTGGAATAAATAAGTAGTTTGGTAGAGCATGAGAGGAGATGATGGTCATAGTGGTACCTCCACATTTCCTTGGGTTTGCATCCAGAGGCAAAATAGGCAATGAGATCTTCTTCGGTTAGTGGCTCGGTCGCGACTAAAGCAGAATCGCTAGCCGTTGCCTTATTCTCTTGATTGTGATTGCCTGCAACGATCTTGCTTCTTTTACAAGTAAGAGATCTCTTGTGTGAGAAGCTAACATAGGTTTTCAAAGCACGCAAGTTCATCGCTGCACTTGGCCCACAAGAAGAGGGTAAGAGCGCCATGTTTTAGTTCCTGCAGCAACCATTATAGAATTATAACCCATGAGTCATATGTGCTACTTCTAGGGCCGGCCTTGACAACCCAACAAGTAAATGCTTTAGGCAACAAAAAAGTTAAAAAAATTCGGAGCAACATTTTTGTTAGACCATCCACATTCGAGACATTTTGTGGATGTCTTTAAATAAACAAATATTAAAAACACTCTCTCATCCTTTTATTCAATTTTATACTTTTTCTTTCATCATTTTACTTAACTTTTATTAATTTTATATTTAAACACACTCCAACTTTCATCCATTCTCTCTCCAACTTTGTCTTCGAAGAGACATTCTCTCTAAAAAAATACCCGCTATCTCCTCTCTTTACTCAAATTTTATTAATTTTATATTTCAATACACCCCATCATTTCAACCAAAAATACTCTCTTTCTTCCTTTTACTCAATTTTTAATAATTTTATATTTAAAGACACCTACAAAATATCTCCAATGCGGATGTTCTTATAAGCTTTAGACACAAGTTCATAACAAAGGGTCCGTACAAAAACTATTAGAGAATTTGTTTTTATATTTAAGAAATTAGCAACGGAACTTCAATTCTATATTGCATGTATTATTATTTATATATATCAAACATATAGATTGAAATTAAAACGACAAAATAAGTGTGTCGAAGTAAGAAATGATCAACTAATCTCTATATTATATATTATGTAAATATCATTAAAATGAAATGGTTAAGTTTTACAGTTTGATTAACAAAATATTTAACCTAATTGGTCCTATGCCGAAAAAGAATAAAGTACATGAAAGCAAAAGTTCAATCATTACTTCAACAACTTAAGCAATAAGCTTTCAGTGCCAAAATGCAAGGATAATGAGGAAGGAGAGTCGAGGAGAACCAATAACGGAATTTGCTAACAGAAACTGTTTCACTAGAATTAGAAGCCCACAGAAATTGCCTTCATTCTAAAATGCTCCTTATCATCAACGAAACGAAACTACTCCAACAAGCCTAGAACCAACACTTTTATAGAAGTGTATGAAATTTAAACGAGAAAACATATATTGGATATAAGTGTTTCTATATTGCATATATACTTCTTACATATATTTTGAAATGTATAACAAAAACATCCATTACAAAGTCAATGTTATTATGACAACAACAATATATATAGTCATGAGAAAAGAAAACCTATTCCTCCAAAAGTATGTGAAGATGGTGCAACAAGTCAGCAACAACAAAGAAAACATAAACGAAGAGCTTAAGAAGACGTTTTTTTCAATAA